ACGGGAATGAGGCGCCCGCCGGGGCGGCCCTCCGTCGGCAGGGTGCCGACTGGCCAGGAGAAAAGCCGTCGGTGTCGCGAAGCCCGCTCCGACACGCGGCTGGGATCGGCAGGCCTGCAATCGACCGAGAGGTGTCCTGCCGCCTCCTCCTCCTCCTCCTCCTCCTCCTCCGCCTCCTCCTCCTCCTCGTCCTCCTCCCTCTTACTGGCAGGGGGCCGCCACGCGCGCGCGAATCCTAGCAATCAGATCGCAGGGAACGCCCATAACGCGCCGGCCCGTGGAGACTCCGAGCCGGTGACCTTTCGGCCGAGTGTCTGGCGCGATGGTTTTGGGGCAGAAGCTCGGGCGCCCTCGAAGGCGGCCGTGTCGCACTCGCCAGGCCGTCACTGGCCAACCAACAATCATGATTCGAGTGCCGCCCTGACTTTGGGCCCCGATGCGCGCCGTCAACCAGCTGCAGCAACTGCTTTGGCTCCGAGGCGCTCAGGGATCCTCGAGGCATCAATGACGGACGGATCAAGATTTTAAGTCTCCGCCAACCAGGTAAGTGATTCGGTAGTGCGAGAGACGTGCGCCCAAGGTCTGAAGACGCTCTGTACTCCTGCCGCCAAGCTTCTCACCTTGCTCTACTCTAGGTATAGCGACGCCGCGATGAACCCATGCCGAGGCCCACCACGCATGAGAACGGCGACCGCATGGCCAGGCGAGAGCACGTCAGGGCTACGATGTCCAGGAAGAACAGTAGCCCCAGCATCGCGGCGCACGAAGACGCCCGCACCAGGGCCACATGAATCATTTGCACCACCCACAGGATTAGTCACAAAGGGCTGCCAGCCGGGCTTGGATGCCCACTCCTTGGCACGATCAAGCTCATCACCACGAAGACTAAGCTCTTGAGCGAATGCAGCTGAGCATCACCTGCCACGATCTCAGAAGTCTTTCCGTGGGGGCCATCCACTGCCGTTGAAAGTCTCGGCCTGCAAGTCTTTACGCTTGTCTCCTACGGTGCTCTTCTCCCGGGCCGACGTGGCGCCAGTTGGCTGGCGGACGACCAGCAGCAGCTTGATTGTAAATACATGTGGAATTATTGAAGACCCAGTGGCCAGCTCCGAAATTGCATCATCAACCAAGTCAAGACCATCCCCACGGGTCTCTGGAATTCCGAGACGTCCGCAGCATCTGTCCTGGAATTTTGTTGCGGGATGCTCATTATCAGTTCCATGCCCCCCGTGCCCAGCACTTGCAGGAGTACTCAAGGTGTCAGAGTCAGACCTCCCAACCACATGCAGGATACCAGAAGAACGGGTTGGGGCAACCCTGAAGGACAAAGGTTGAGATGGCAGCGCATGCGAGCCCGCCGCCTTCTCGATCTCTACTGGGCCTTGCGCAGGCGCGGCGCATGAAGCATACGAGGTACGAGAAATTCCCATTCCAGCTGTGGTCGTAGTAGCCGACCGCAATGCCGTAGCCGTTGTGCGAGAAGCGGACGTGGTAGACGAAGGGCACGAAGTGCCAGCGCCAGCTGAACCGCCATCAACTCGATGCGCGACCAAAACCGTGTCAGACGAACCACCGTCAACTGCGTCCCGATCACCGCCGGGTTCGCGCCCGAGGTGCCCAGGACTTGCAATGCCAGGGCGAGTAGAGGCATGATCAGTGAAATCAGTGAATGGCCCAGCCAGCTTGCACTGAGGAAGGTCAAAACTGCGACAGCTGAACTGAGCCAGCGTCATGGCGCCTAGCTGGGCCTCAGCCTGGCGTGGTGGTGGCGCCCCCCATGCTAGCATCTCGCGCTGCGGGCCCGCCTTCACGGTCTGCGCCGATCTGGTGGCCCCAAGGATGTACGCCAGGAGTTGCAGGAGCAGGTGCACCAGCAGCAGCACCAGGAGGGGCCCTTGCAATGGCCGCCACGGCTGCTTTCTCGTGCGCCTCGAAGGCGCGGTGGAGCTCGGCGAGGTGAATGCCAATCGACGCCAAGGCGGCGTTGATGTTCCCCGCCACGACCATGACAGCAGCGCGAGCGGTTGCCATCTCCAGGTGGATGGCATCGGCGTCCACTTTGGTTGCCTCCATATTTCTTTCTCGTCTTGGCATCGAGCCCTTGCTGAAGGCCACCGACGGCAGTGGCGTGCGCGTCGTACTCCTTCTGCTTGGCGCTATGCCTGTTGAGGGCTCGCCGCAGCATGTCGGTCGCGCGACCTGCACGCTCGCGCTCCTCGGCGGCGGCGAGCTGCTTCCTGGCGCTGACGGCTCGGTGGCGGTGACCTGTTTCCTGGCGCTGACGACGAGCTCGTTGCCCTCGCCGAGTTGCAGGCGCCGTCGAGCAGCAATGGCACGCCGTGCTCTGGTGGCGTGGTCAATCCCACCCGCTGGTTGCTGGCTCTCCGCTATCCCCTGGGAGTCGCTGAGACGCTGATGAGGGCCGAGGGCGGCGCATCTGCCCAGGCGGAGTCGCCCCAGAAGGGTCTGGTCGACCTTGCCGATCGCGGCCGCCCATGTAGCACCGCCCGTTAGTGCTGTAGTTTCTGGTTGCAGCACACTTGCGAGTAGCCACGCAAGGCCAGCGACCTGTGTCGTTGGCTTCTTCAGTTCGCCTGTTGCTCCTTTTCCCATGGGCAGCCTGCAACCGTGATGTAGTGCCAGCCGTTCTCGGGCTTGTTCCCGCCGCAAGACTGAGCGAACAGATGAACGTGACCGTGGAAGCCGTCGCTGCCACGTTGGTGACCGTGACCTCGAGCGTGCCGTGTCGAGTACAGTGCCAGGCCGCAGGCGGATTCAGCGGAACGCCAGGGCATCCGAGCGCGGTTCGGGAGGCGCCAGCAATAGTAGCGGCGCCATGCGAGGCTTGAGACAGCCGCGGGCGCGCCAGGCGAGGCATGGGGCTGGGGGCTATGGCACGGCAGGCGCCCGCCGCAGGGCGAAACGGTTGCGGGGTCGCGCTTGGGCCCAGATGGTTTGAACCAAACGAGGAGGAGGAGGAGGACGAGGAGGAGGAGAGTGAGAAATTGAGGATGAGGAGCAGGCGGCTTCTTGGGGGCAGTCTTGGGGCTTTGTGGGAATTTCCTGAAAGTTGTTTGGGGGCATCTTGGGGGCCTCATGGGGCCTCTTGGGCAGTCTGTGGGAACGCTTGGCCCGTCTGGCGCCTATGGCGGCCGCCTTGGGGCCCCCTTTAGGTTGCGTTGATGCCCTCTTGGGACGGTTCACGGCCGTGGGGCTTTCTTGGGAGCCCCTTGGGCGATTTGTTGGTCTTCTTGGGCCGACCTGGGGTCCTTTTTTGAGTTGCTTGGGCTGTCTTGGAGCTGCCTTGGAGGCCTCGTTCAGGTTTTTGTTGGTGTCCGTGCTGGGCGGTCGGAAGCCCGAACACGTGAGAACCTCAAGTTCTTCCATTCAACTGCGTAGGACAAGCCAATGGTGTTGGCCTCTTCGGGCTCTCCATGGGGCCTCTTGGAGACCTCTTTGACCGTCTTGGGGGCCTCTTGATGTGTCTTGAGGCTGTCTTGGGAGCCTCTTGAGCAGTGGTGGTGCATATCGGGTTATATTGACGTCATCTCGTTTGCCTTGAAAGCCGTCTTGGAGGCCGTGCGGTTCCCAAGAGGGCGTTAATGCATATCAAGAGGCCCCCAAGACGGCCCAGGAGATCTCCAGGAGGCCCTCCAGGAGAGCCCGAGGAGGCCCAAGCCGATCCTCCAAGCTTGCCCTCCTGCATCATATTTCCCCCCTCCTCGTCGTATTCATTCTCATCTTCCTCCTCCTCCTCCTCCTCCTCCTCCTCCTACTCCTACTCCTACTCCCCTTGCTCCTGCTCCTCCTCCTCCTCCTGATCTTATTATTCCTCCTCCTGCTCGTGATCCTCTCTCCTCCTGCCCCTCCTCCGCCCTCCTAGTCGTCCTCCTCCATCCTCTCTCCTCTTGCATCCTCCACTCAATCGACAGAAAGACGCATACGTTCGTAGCCTGTGCAAGGTTCGAGACGAGACGGGCAAAGGACAGTAGGGGAAAGGGTCCATCCTTTCTCCTCCAGCTCCTCCTCCTCCTCCTCCTCCTCCTCCCGCTCCTGCTCCTCCTCTTCCTCCTCCTCCTGCTCATCCTCCTCCTCCTCCCGCTCCCTCCTCCTCCTCCTGTTCCCCCTCCTCCTCCTCCTCCTCCTCCTTCTCCTCCTCCTCCCTCCTCCTCCTCCTTATCCTCCCCTCCTGCTCCTCCTCCTCCTCCTCCTCCTCTTCCTCCTCCTGCTCCTGCTCCTCCTCCTCCTCCTCCTGCTCTTCCGCCTCCTCCTCATCCTGCTCCTACTCCTGCTCTTCCTCCTACTCCTTCTCATCCCCTCCCGCCTCCTGCCCTTCCTTAGTCCTCCTCCTCCTCCTCGATCTTCTCATCCGAAAGGGGCTCGAGGCCTTGAACCGCTTTGGGCGTGGGCTCCCGCCAAAGTCGAGCTTGTATCTTCGTGGGCGATTGTGGCGATGTGGCCCGGCTGGCACCTGGGAGCCACGTGTTCGCCATAGCGCCATAGCTCGTCCATCTTCTCTCCTCCTGCATCCCTTATCTCGGTGGCGAGCCCAGGGGGGAAGTGAGAAGGAGAAGGCCTTCTCAGACGGCGGCGGGACTTCTCAGAAACCCTAGCGCCTTCTGAGAAGTTTCCTGCGTCTTCGGGGAAGGCTCAGAACACTTCTCCGAAGTCTGGGGGACTTCCGAGCCTTCCGAGAAGGCCTTCTCCTTCGCACCCCGCCCTCGCTCGCCGCCGATCCTCGTCCTCGGCTGCCCCCCCCCCGGGCTGATGGGCTTGTTTTCCACCACCACCACCACCACCACCACCACCACCACCACCACCATAAATTGGAGGGGGAGGGGGTCCTCCTCCTCTTCCTCCTCCTCCTCCTCCTCCACCTCCTCTCTCTCCTCCTCCTCCTCCTCCGCCTCCTCCTCTTCGTCCTCCTCCTCGTCCACCTCCTTCCCCCCTCCAACTTGTGGTGGTGGTGGGAAGCAGGCCCATCATGGGCCCCTTGGGAGGCCTCCCCGCCCTGGCAGCGGCCGGCTGCAACTCCGCTGGCGGCGCCCGCCGGTGCCGTGCCGGCCTGGCGGGGCCCAGCGTCGGCGGAGCCGCCGCGGCGGAGGTGCCCTTGCCGCACCTCCCCTCTGATCCGAAGAGGGGGAGGAGGAGGAGGAGGAGGAGGAGGTGGAGGAGGAGGAGGAGGAGGAGGAGGAGCAGGAGCAGGAGGAGGAGGAGGAGTAGAAGGAGGACGAGGAGGAGGAGGAGGAGGAGGAGGAGGAGGAGGAGGGTATGGGTATGGGTATGGATACATGACAACGTCAGGAAAGCAAGCAATGACAATAATGACATGCTGTATGCAATGCGACGAAGGGCCTACCCTCGAGACGCTCCTCCGCGTCGGGTGGCCTTCTCCGTCTTGCTCAGAACCTTTGGCCAGAGCCCACGGGAAATCCTGGAAAGATATTCAAGCCTGTTGGCAGTGGGACGCTGACATGGACGGCCAAGCCCGTCTAGTAGTTGATGCCCGTAGCATCCACACTTGCCACAGAACCACAATCTCAGCCCACTGTGCCACTGCATTCGATGAGAGGAGTCAACAAAGCCCCCCGCTATATGCAACAAGGCTTGGGGGGGTTTGTTGAAAATCACTCCGTTATAGTTCAGGGGCTCGAAACAGGGTGACTGACGCCAGTGGGTGGTCCGCGCCTTTGTGGCCGAGCCCCCACACCGAGTACACCTGCGCCCTGTCTCATCAAGGCAATGGTCGGTAGAGAAGAGGGAGAGAGAGGCAGCAGAGGGGGGCGAGGGGGCAGGGGCGACCTTTTTCCCACGAGGCGCAACTCTATTTTCAGCTTCGGCATCGCAGGCATCTAAGGTGGCCCGCAAAATCTGCATGCGTACAAGTCGGGCTCTGCGCTCGTGCCACAGAACATTCGATCGCACATCCTGTGAGACTCTCGCCTCCTTGGCTGCAAGGCCCGCCACCTCGTCAACTACAGCATTGCTAGTGACCTTCCATCTCGGTGCCACTCCCCTCACAATGTCTAGGGCGGTGAGGTGGGAGTGGGTGAAATCAACTGTGACCGATGCAGCGCCGCCTGCCCGCTCCTTGAGAAGCTGGCCTAGCTGCGCCCACAAATCCTTATCATCGCCTTGGGGCCGATCATAGCGGCCAGCGAACCATCCTTTGACTACAGGTTCGCAGTCTGAAATGAACAAAATTATGCTAACGGAGTTCCCCACATACAGAGATTAACGGTTTCGTGGGACCCATTTTCTTGATGCCCTCCTCGCTCAGGCGGGGCCTCCCTGCAGGGGTGGGAGGGGCACGAAACCATGTAAATAGTATGGTATTCCGATACCCTCCTCGCTCAGGCGGGGCCTCCCTGGAGGGGTGGGAGGGGCACGAAACCATGTAAATAGTATGGGCTGGAGGGGTGGGAGGGGCACGAAACCATGTAAATAGTATGGTATTCCGATACCCTCCTCGCTCAGGCGGGGCCTCCCTGGAGGGGTGGGAGGGGCACGAAACCATGTAAATAGTATGGTATTCCGATACCCTCCTCGCTCAGGCGGGGCCTCCCTGGAGGGGTGGGAGGGGCACGAAACCATGTAAATAGTATGGTATTCCGATACCCTCCTCGCTCAGGCGGGGCCTCCCTGGAGGGGTGGGAGGGGCACGAAACCATGTAAATAGTATGGTATTCCGATACCCTCCTCGCTCAGGCGGGGCCTCCCTGGAGGGGTGGGAGGGGCACGAAACCATGTAAATAGTATGGTATTCCGATACCCTCCTCGCTCAGGCGGGGCCTCCCTGGAGGGGTGGGAGGGGCACGAAACCATGTAAATAGTATGGTATTCCGATACCCTCCTCGCTCAGGCGGGGCCTCCCTGGAGGGGTGGGAGGGGCACGAAACCATGTAAATAGTATGGTATTCCGATACCCTCCTCGCTCAGGCGGGGCCTCCCTGGAGGGGTGGGAGGGGCACGAAACCATGTAAATAGTATGGTATTCCGATACCCTCCTCGCTCAGGCGGGGCCTCCCTGGAGGGGTGGGAGGGGCACGAAACCATGTAAATAGTATGGTATTCCGATACCCTCCTCGCTCAGGCGGGGCCTCCCTGGAGGTGTGGGAGGGGAGGGTATGGTATTCCGATACCCTCCTCGCTCAGGCGGGGCCTCCCTGGAGGGGTGGGAGGGGCACGAAACCATGTAAATAGTATGGTATTCCGATACCCTCCTCGCTCAGGCGGGGCCTCCCTGGAGGGGTGGGAGGGGCACGGAACCATGTAAGTAGTATGGTTTTCGGTATGGAGTGGTATGGAATGATATGGTAGGTATGGTATGGTACGGTATGGTATGATATGGTATGGTATGGTACTGGAGGTATGGTATGGTATGGTACGGTGTGGCATTGGTGTGTATGGTATGGTATGCTATGGTACGCCATGGTATGGTATGGTACGGTATGGTACGTATGGTGTGGTATGGTATGGTATGGTATGGTATGTGTGGTAGGAACTATGGTATGGTATGGTGTGTGTGGTAGGAATAATATTGTGCTGTATGGAAGATGCAGCGGGAGGTGGGTGGGAAGGAGAGGGTGTTCTGGGAAAACAAGAACCCCACTCAGGACGTGGGGAATAACGCCTTTGGTGAGCCAGACCGCTAGCAACAGGGCCCTAAGCTCTCCCCTCGCCACGACTTGGCGAGGACCACACAGGGGGCCGCGCACCGTGCCAAATAGCTCAACGCATGGCTCGAGCGAGGCAAAGAGAGCCACTGCTACACCAACACGGCGAAACAGGTTGCTGCTACTGTCTGGCCCTCCGCTTGCATCGCCACTGATGAGGAGAAGGCTGTCGATGGAGCCTTCACCCCAGCACCCTGCAGAGACTGCATTGAATCCCTCAGGGGTCCAGCATTCGGTATCCTGTGGCGGGGGTACGGCTGCCCAGGCCGCGGGAAGCATGCCCCTGAGCCAAAACCCCTCATCCATGTCCATCTGCGCTAGGGCCTGCGGTAGCAATTCCTGCGATTCATCGTGTGCAACCTTCCCTTGGTTGCATTCGCACAGCCAGATGCGGTGCTTTGCCGTCTCTGGCTCCTTGCCGCATCGAGGGCACAAAACGTTGCCATCAAATCTGGCAATCTCACCTTTGCGCCGCTGCATCGGCCAAGAAGCTCCTACGGCACAAGCAAGCATGGTCTCTGACAGACGATGCCCGTACTCAGGAACAGCTGCCAATTGCTGCAAAAGCACACGGTACGAGGTCACATCCACACCTCGCTCGGGGCCTGCTCCGCAAAAGTGGCGGCTGGCCTTGACCCACAGCTGGTGCCTGAGCGAGGCGCGGAAGTCCTCCAGGAAGGCACTGTGCGAGTCGAGGGCCTTGTCGCCTGTGCACATGGCATCGTCGAACCTCCACTCGTCGCCCGCTGCCCCATGGGATGGTGGTATGGTCCAGGCCGTAGGCTCATCCACACCCCATCCTGCCTCCATTAAGTGTAGTACTACAGCTGTGAGAGGCCCTCGTATATGGCGGGATCGTTGGCCTTCTGGTATGGACCGAAGGTGCTGTACAACTTGGCGCCAGGCTTGTCGTACTCCAGGTCTGATCTCGGGGCGGTCCCGCCACGTAGTGAGCCACTGGTCCAGGCAGGCTGTGGGCATCTGGATGGCGGGATCCGCGTCACCAGCTCGTAGGGCGAGTAGGCTGGTCAAACATCGTCCCCTCGTGGGGGCTGCTAAATAAAAACCCAGTCGCCGTCGGATATCCGTCATCTTGCTGCCGAAAGTGCCGTAGACCTGGTGTCCATGCACTCCAGCAGATTGGGCCCCCTGTCGCTCGAGGCGACCGCATGTTTGATACTTCTTGGCCGTCCAGGCGAAACGTCGCACCTTGGCATTCATGCGCTTGTGCTTGGCCTCGCGGACGACGCGGGTCGAGCGCCCGTGCCTGCTGCCACCAGCGACGTCGACGCCCAGGTATGCCGCCTGGAGCTTGGGGAGGATGGTGAAACCTGCCTTCTTGACCCGTATGGCGATCCACTTGGCGTCCTGACTGTGTGAACAAATGACAACGGACTTCGGGGAGACGGTGGGCTGCTTGGCCTGCAGCTCCTGACATGTCTCGGTGATGCACGATGCGAGTTGTCTCCTAACTGCCGACCTCGATCCGCATGTCCCTTGCGAAAGGTCGTCTATCCAAATCCGATGGTTCACTCTAGGATGAGCGACTGTGATGGCTGACAGCACGTAGTGGGTCATGGCCTTGCCGAATCTCGTGCCTGAGCGGAGGCCCTGCACCACACTTCGCGTCGGCTGAAAAGCCCGCGATGTGGCCCCAAGCTGGCTCACTGCGCGTGCTGCCGCGCACTGCAGCAGCTCGAGGTAGAGGATCCTCGGTGGGAAGGACAGGTTGAGGGAACATAACACCAGCACTGGCCATTCGATGGAACCGTAAAATGCTTTAATAATGTCAACCAGGCCCTCTCCGACAGCGATGCCCAGATGATGTGGCGCTTCCTGTTGGAGGGTTCTTACAAATGCTTCCCTCAGACTGGAGTTCCCTCGGGCTGCTGCGTCCCAGGACGCCTCCGTGTCGCTGCTCCACTGCCGCGCCAACGGTTCACGGATCAAACTCCATAATCTGCCAACCATTGAGACGAGCCCGATGATGCGGTCGCCCGTGCTCTTCTTGGGCAGCATGCGCCCAACGATCATGAGAACCTGAGCGGGCCAAACGAGATGGTACTCACAAGCCTCGAACAGCAGCGCCAACTCAGGGAGAGCCGAATCTGGGAGACGCTCGAAGTCCCCTGGGGAAAGCATGTCGACGCCAAGCCCCGCTCGGGGCCGCATCTGCCGCAAGGCTGCTCTGATGTCCTCAACCGAGATGGGTGGTGGAACATCGTCCTGAGCTGCCTCCCGAACCTGCTGAAAGGCATGCTGCACTAACTCCTCATCCATACTGTGAGGCGCCCATAGATCATGCCAACCACGAGACTTGACGTCTATGATGTCCTTGGGATGGTAGAGCACCTCCCCCTCGTGGTCGGGTTCCTGTGCTGGTAGACCCTGTGGGTCCAATGAGCGATGCAGCGTGCCTATAGACTCG